ACACACACACACACAGAGGAGCCCTGGTGGTGCAATGGTTAAGTGTTCAGCTGCTAACTGAAAGGTCTGAGGTTCAAACCTATCAGCCCCTCCTCAGGACAAAAGACCTGGACATCTGCTCCCATAAAGATTACAGCCTAGAAAAAACCCTACGGGACAGTTCTACTCTGTCCTACAGGGTAGCTATGAGTCAGAATCCACTCAAAGGCACACAACAATATACATATATATTCTTTATACATATATCATTTCTCACAAAGATTTTAGCTTGGGGAGAAGGAAGATCAGAGAAAGAGGATGTCCCGTTTTGGCTGTGCTAATTTGGCCCTATCCAGACTTCCACTTCTGGGTGGGTGCAGTCTACCCTCAACATTACTGACTCATGTTTTGCTTCTATTTTTATACCCTCTTCTTTCTTTCCTAACTATTCCTTTCACTATGTATCTATCATCCTCTTTTCTTAAATTCTGTTTACTTCAAAATCTAAAACACTGCACTGATAGATTTTATTAAGGTTAGGTTAGAATTGAAGTCAGTGCTGGAAGAGTTAGACACAATTTCCTTTATACAATAATGATAATAAACCGTATACCATATTCTCTTACCATTAATCCCATGTTAGGAAACACAGTGATGCTTTTCATAACAGACCCTTTCTGTTCACTTCCATTCGTATCCTCTTTATAGCTTAGTGTTCTATATTAATATTTAAACTTTCAAAGTATGTGAAGCCCAATAATAAATCAGTTACAATTCTTTACCTACAATCAACAGTAATGAACTCTTGCTAAAACCAAAAAAAGAAAAAGCGAGTAAATTTATTGAAAAGCTATTGGATAGCTCATCTATCTGAACAGCCTGCCGAGCAACCATTGGGGATGTCCAGGGACGAATTACCCAATAAGCAAGATAAGTTCTGGCTTACTTATCAAAGATGTGGTGAAACTCATGTGAAATTGTGCACCACAGGTTAGTAAGTAAACACAAGCCCATGTGAACCTTGCTTACTGGTTAATCTGCCCCTGGCGACTTCTATAGTGGGAGCTCGTTTACCAGTACTTTAGTAGCTGCCGTGAGATTACTTTTAACCACCTTCCAGCTGTGTGTGTCTCTGATCACAATTCAAATTCCTAGGAGAAAGAGCCTGATCATTTTGGCTTAATTTGGGTCTGAAGACCTGTGACTGACAGCTCACTGAATTCACATAGAGTGCCAAAAGGAGAGTTCCCACAAAGGACTGGATGCTGGGAAGGCAGAATCAAGAGAAGTCTATACGTTCTAATTATTGGCTGCACAACATGTACACATGCCCTTATCATAAAAAATATCCCAAAAGATTTCTGCCTGACATAATGAAAATAACTAACGCACGATAGAAGAAACCCTCTCTTCAATGGGCTCCAGTCACCACATGCAGAGAGGAAGGCTTGGGGCTACCGTTCTCCTAGTACCTAGTACAATTAGCTGATGTCCATGCCTCCTCTAGTTGTGTCACAATCCCATGTCAAATAGGCTATGCTTTATGGGTGAAATAATTCATTTTAGTGTACCAACATATACCATATACCAAAGAAAAAGACAAGCAAGGAAATGCAGCTAATGGCCTTAGGGCTTGCTTTTCTCTTTCTTGGTTACAAGTTTTTGACACTATTTATCCTGCCTGCCTTCACTACCCATTTCTACCCATTCCCTGTCTCTCTTGTCTTCAGGCTGCGGCTCCTGTTTGTTTGCTCAATGAGGTGAACCATACCCTTATTCATGAAGGATCTAAGACCTTGTTGTTCCTACTTGTGGATGATTGCATCTGTCCCTTCTTTTACTATTGTTACTATTACTTACTATATTGTCTGCTATAGTCAGGGAGCCCTACTGGCTCAGTGGTTAAGTGCTCAGCTGCTAACCCAAAGGTAAGCGATTTGAGCCTACCAGCCGCTCCATGGGAGAAAGACGTGGCAGTATGCTTCCCTAAAGATTTACAGCCTTGGAAACCCTATGGGCCAGTTCTACTATAGGGTCCTTATAGGGTCGCTATGTGTCGGAATGAACTGGATGGCAGCAGATTTGGTTTGGTATGCTGTAGTCCCTGCAGCCACATCTTTCTCCTGTGAAGTAGCTTTCGATTAGAAGCCAAACACTTCACCACTGTGTCACCAGGGCTCCTCGCATAAAGATTACACCCGAGGAAACTATGGGGGGCGGTTACACTGTCCTGTAGGGTTGCTATGAGTCGGAATAAACACAACAACATACTATAGTCATTCTGGAGGAGCTTAACGCCTTCCAATTCTGATTTGTAATCAAGAACAATATTTTGCTTTGATTATTGTCATCATTCCAGCATAATCCTTCCCCTTCCCACCTCCCCCCACCAACAGGGATTAAGAAGTTGAATTGGCTAAATTGCAGTCTCAGCTTCTAATTCAGTGGAAAATATGTTAGATTCTCCCCCGCCCCCCACCCCACTAGTAAATGCATTTCTTTTCGGTCTCCAGATTTCTAGTTGAGAAGAGCTCAACTGTGGGGAAAGAAAGCAAAAAAAAAAAAAAAAAAAGAAAAAAAATTGAGACTAGGTCATTAAACATAAAAAACCAGTGATTCCTTCCCTTTCTACCTTAGTTCCTGACCTGTTTATTTCGGCTATAGGAAGAAGAGGATCATATATTAGTTATCACTGGTACAGAGAATGCACATCATTTTGGAAGATAATGTGGTGCCCTAAAGGGCAGTGACTGAGCCTTCAATAGGTCAGTCCATTATTCCATGAGGCTAGCTCCTTTCAGATATTACAGTACACAGTAAAACCAATTAAAACCATGATAATCATCCCATTGACTTATTAGTTATAGAGTTAATTCTCTAGTTAGCTGTGATGTTGTGTGGTTTAGCATAAAGTATTGAGTAAATCTACTAATAGTGTTGCTGGCAGAAAAATAAAATCCAAAT